TAGTCTTGACATGAATATAGTGACCACACCCACTTCAACGCCCCACTAAAATCGAGTGTAATTTTCGTACATTTTACCATCGTGCGGATTCTCTACGGAAAAAGCACTCAATGTACCTCTGAAATATTAAACTATAATATTGTGGCTCTCTATTTCGCTAATTTTCTAACTTGAAGGTAAAGTTTTTCCCTCGTCATTTTAACCTTTTCTCCGAGCGGTTGCGTGAAATTAACAAGGCGTTTTTGTTCAAAACACAACCGAGCGAAGCGTCTCGGGCGATATCTTTTTTACGCAAGCGCAATTTAAAAATGTACCGCCTGAATCAAAAAGAGAAACAAATTTCCTTTGTTTTGATATGTAAAGTGTCGAACAAAAAGCAGATTTACCCTCGTCAAATGGCGTTTCAAAACAGCTGTATCTTCCTCCTTTTGATTTTTTCCTATTTGGTCAGCGTGAAAGCAGTAGGAGAGGGATCGGGAAACTCAGAAAGCACTTCGGGTATTAATCTGCCATTGTTTACTTACGAGATAAACAAGTAAGATTTGTGAAGTTCATCGCAGTATGAAGTCTAAATAAATGCCTTTTTTTGAGCTTGTTCGCTGGATTTTTCGTAAACTTCCCTGATTAATTTTTCGTTTCAGCTTACTAATCTATACTATTTCAAAGCAAAGAAGTTTTCAGAGAAAACCATGAGTCGGTCCTTTCAATGATTGTAAACAAAGTGTTTGAGCAATCAGGTATACGAGGTATAATAATCAATAGCCATATATCAGAAGTCTTCAGAAAGAAAATATTCTGTTTTCAGAAAGCTGTCAAGAAAGCTAGTAATCGTGGCAATTAAATGCACTTCTTAGCAATTTGGAAACGGGCCCTCGGTATCGATTTAAGATGTATTACAACGAGGTTGATGTACATCAGCTTAAAGATGAGAACAGCCAGTTGAGGGGAGAAAAAATAAAATTAAAAGAATCGTTGGTACAGGAGAAGGCAAAGCGATTGCGAGTGGATAAAAAAGCCCGAGAAGCTCTCGAGAAAGCTGAGAAGAAAGGGGCCTTCTACAATAAAAAATTTATTCAGTTGGCCAAAAAAGTGATTACAAATGGGAAAAAAGGTAGAGGCCCAGCTAAGAAGAAGTTTAATGACTATTCCAAGCACCATCAAAAGAGAATTAAAAACCAACTGAAGGAGGAGTGCCAAACTACACTCTCCTTTCTTGGGCTGTACAATTTTGTTGCAACCAAAATTGAAGTCCTCAAGACTGAGACTAATCAATATGAAACTTTCAATCTTGTTGGAGAGGGAGAGCTGCCATTTACAGAGTCTGACCCAAAGGCCCTTAATAGTGATGACATTGATAACATAAATATGTGGCTTTACCTCAAAGATAAACTCATGATTTCAAATGAGGCCTGGCATGAAATTGCCATTAAGGCTGATGATCTCCCCAATATATATTCCATCAAGAAGCGAATTAATGAGCTAAACAGTGAATGGAACTTGAAACCAACACCAGGAGATGCTGAAGATGTTCAGTTAAGATTTGCAGAAAGCTTGCAAAAGCACATTGTTAGGCTTCAGAAGAATGGAGAAATCAATGATGGGGAAACTATTAAGATCAAGCTTAGTGGTGATGGTACAAATATTGGAAAGGGGCTTACAGTTGTCAACTTCACTTTTACTATTCTCCTTGAAAAGGATGTGGCAATGGGTGAGAAGGGAAATGATATACTTGCTGTTATAAAAACTACAGAGACATATGATAATCTGAGAGACAGCCTAGTAGACCTTCGAATGGAAATGTCAAACTTAAAGGAGATAAGTGCAAATAATTGCATTGAATACTTTTTACGTGGATATTTGAAATTTTTAGCACTGTTATGTGGTTTAGGCAGGGCAAATGAGGATTATGCTTGTGTGTGGTGCAATTGTCCCAGGGAGCTACGGTGGGACACAAGCAAAACATGGTCAATTAATAGCAAGCAAGTTAAAATAGCAAGGTTTTCCACTGGAAGGAAATTAAACTGTAAGGCACAACCATTATTTGATTTTATACCCTTTTTTATACCTTGTCATCATAGATACATTACATTTTTTTCTGAGGATTTCAGATGTTTTGATTAACTTGTTCATAAGAGAGCTGAGAAGAAGTGATGCTATTGAGAAAAAAAAACCTCTGATGGATTCCCAAGAGATAAATATAAACACATGGCATGTTATGAAGAATTTATCAGAAGTATGGGAATCACTTTTAATTTTAGAATCAACAAAGAGAGCAAAAAGCTGGAATATAGAGATCTTACCGAACCAGAAAAGTTGAAACTCTTTCAGAATATAAACATTCCGACCTATGCTTGTCCCTCTTTGCAGTCAAAACAAAGACATACAAGTGATCTGGGCTAACTTTATGGACATAATTGGTGATTTGAGGCTAGATTTTACATCTGAAGAGGGTATTCTTGAACTGCAAAGAAATATCAAATCATGGTTTGAGCACTTTCTCAAAGTTTACCAAGCAAAAGATGTCACTCCCTACATGCATGCACTATGTTATCATGTTCCTGAGTTCCTGTCACTTTATCAGAACATAGCATATTACACACAACAAGGCTTGGAAAAATACAATAATAGAGCTTCTAAAGATTTCTTCAGATCCACAATTCACAAAGGGGTTGATGCCCTCAAACAACTGTTTCTGAATAAAAACAGGATTCAGTTCCTGGAGGCAGCAGGTTATGAAAGGGTTTAAGAACACCTACAACGATGAGCTTGTATTCAATGATTGGACTTCTTTGTCCCAGCCAATACTTAATAGTTCCTGGAATTACATAGGCAAAATCTTCAGCTACATTTAAAATTCTTTCATCCCACTTCAGCCCCAGATATGAATCAAGCACCCTATTTGACTCCAATTGGTAAACCATCTTCCCTCTTTGAAGAACGCCGGGCAAAACACTCCCAAGACCTTCCATGAAAACATCTTGGTCAACATTAAGGTCTATGTTTATATCAGGGTCCTCTCGCCGTCCAGACCAAAGCTTTTTCTTTATTTCACGAGCAAGTTGGCCATGGAACGATTCTTTTCTATCCTCTAGAGAGTTTTCCGAGGGAATGAACAGCTTTTCGCTGCGAACAAACGGAAAATATCCAGATCCTCTATCGGCCCTGAAGGGTGTCCATTCATCGAAGCATGTGCTATAGCCAACGTAATGAATTTTCAACCTCTCTTGTTGATTTTGTCAACCTCCCTGATCTCAATATCATACAGTTTTGTATCTTTCTATTGTAGATTCGCCTTTCTAACGGGGGTTTATGTCAAGTATTTGTTGAAAAATCGCTTTGCTTTTTTTATTTCCCTCTTTAGCCTGTCCGCCATTTTGAAAATTCGCAACAGAGAGCATGTTTGTGCATCACGAAGGCTTAGTGGTCGCGTACACCTGGAACCGAGAAAAACAAATGTTCGTCGCGCTGGGGAAAGAGTTTGATATGCAAAATTTCTGTGGATAAGTTTTTGAAACAGCAAAAGATTTTTTTTAAAATTTTAAACTTTATTGCCATAAATATTAAATAAACAAAGGGAAAAACAATGTATTGCTTGATCCGATCGAGCAGAATGCGTAGACATCATTAATTTTGTCCTTAGCAATAAAGCGGCAAATTTGAAGGCGACTACGCTTCGAAGAGCCCTAAATTAAAAAAGAATGAGCCAAAATTGGCCTATAAAGCTTCGTAAAACTCAGATTTCTGAGTTTTTAGAAGTGCTTGTCTGTAAATCAACGCACAATGTTTTGGAGATTATCGATGTATCTACAATTTGCACCTAAAATGAACGATATTTGCGCGGTAAAAGTATTTTCCTTTTGCACTTGAAAATATTGTAAATTTGGTCATTTATAGTATGAAAGTCATTTTCGGTAAGAGAGAGCTGTTGGTACCCGTAGACCTGTCAAAGTCCAGTATTGAAAAATTTGCAAACGGGTAACTTCTTTTAGGCCGCCAAAAGGAAAGTATTTACGCGAACATCTTTTTGTCCCTAATTGTTCAATACCTGTTCCAAGGAACTTTCACGCAATTTGAGAATTCTACAGAGAAGAGGAGGCATTTTGTCTCGGCCGTATCGCCTGTTTTGGTCTTCTAAATATTTCAATCAATCAATGTAAACCACCAGCCAACAGAACCAGAACCCCTGACTTTCACAACAGGCAAAATAGAAATTCGCGGGAAAGTAGTACTTTCCCAATAATATTTTTTCCAGTGAGCCTCTACGAGCATGTTCTCAATAGAATATTACATGTATGTAATAAACCAAAAAGAAAAAAGCCTGTTTTTCCGACGCACTTTCCTGAAGGATGGGCAAACTACGAACCCTTGTCACTCTCAGCACGACGTTTCTTTTGTTATCAGAACATTCACAAGTTTTAACCTTTTTCGGTCCTGGCTTTGCTTTGCTTTATGCATTTTTTTCTCAATAACTCATGCGGTTTTATATTCTGACTTGACATTTTGGAAAACGTAACCCAGGTGTTAAAGGAATTTTGAAAGTCTTTCGACCTAAATTTAAACCAAACAAACTTGATCTGGTTATAGCCAAGCTTCAGCTAAAACTCCAAATAGCTTGCATATTTTAAACAAACAAAATGCACAGATATCTCTCTCCGAAGTGCGATTGTAAACAAAGTTGAGTTGAAAAAGGATCTCCTATTGATATTTGGGATACTTTGGAAAACGTAACCCATGTGTAAAAGGGTTTTTGGAGAGTCTCTTGACTCAAATGTAAACCGAGAAACTTGAACTGGTATTAGCCAAGGCACAGCCCAGACTTCCAACACCATACACATTTTACTTAAACAAAATGTACAAATACCAAACTTTTCCGATTTTTTTTTCATAGCTCTAAGCTCCTTTAACCTAACAGTTCGTTTGGAACTATAAACTTGGCATCATCCGCCAAGGGTCGTGTAATTCATTGCTAAATCATTAACACTAGCATGGTGTGTTTTCAGGAATAGCGAAAGTAAGTCTTGGGGAAGGTAACAAAGAGTACAGACGAGGAGAAGCTAATAACGCGATAAACTCCTACACGGAAGCACTTCAAGTCAACTGCAAAGATAAAAGACTGAATTCCAAGCTTTACAGCAACAGGGCAACACCTCATTTCCGTTTGGGTAAGAAATTCATTTCTCAATACATAAATCTCTCATGCAGCGTTACAAGATAACGGAATACACAATCTACATCAAGAAAATAAAGAAGTCGAGCAACAGCAGAAGAAAAGTTCAAATACATGAATCCCCTTTAGTGGACGAAAATTAAGAAAAGGAATGATTCTCGTTATTAGACTGTAATTTAAGCAATTGTAATGTTTCAGGCTTCTTTGCCGCAATTTCATTAGATGACCACTTTTTTAAACCTCATTTCCCGAATCTCATAGCAAAATATGTGGAATGTCTGGATGATGCAACAGCAGCTGTTCAATTGGAACCCACTTTAATCAAAGCTATTAAGAAAGGTAGGTTTTTCAGACATAAGCCATCAACAATCTATTCTCTGATTTCGTCAAAAGAGGATTTTGTGGTTTGTGGTAGGTAACTGCACCCCAAGTGTCAATTGTATCTGGTGTGTCAATGTTTGTTATGTGGGTAAAAAGCATAAGAAATTAAAATGTCGATAAGCTCTCAAATACCGCTGCCAGGCAAGTTCACGTTGTAGAGCGTTGAAGGTCGAGGGCTCAAGCAGAACAACACTTGGTGTAAAAATATCTGAGGAGAATGTGCTGCCACCTAACCATTACACCTGCAAATGGTTTGATATTCTTGTCCCGGATACGGACGGAAGACCGTAACCCCCGTTTCCTGCATCTTCTCTGTAACTCTTACCAGGGGACGTTAAAATCCGGCAAGGAGGCAACCTGAAAAGATCCCTTTCATAAGTTATACTGCTCAATGTAGTCTGCCCAAAAACTTCCCCGAAAAGTGCTGAAAAGTGCATAAACGCACATTAAAATGAAGAATGCGCGAGATAAATTTATCGTTATCATCAACAATTGAAGCTTAATTGGTAGCCGCTCTGCATTAGCTCCTTACTGCTTATTTTCGGTTCTTCCACAAGGTCAAATTTTCTCATTATCACAATTTTTGTTCCCAGCTAAACGGGAAACTAAGTCCATTTTATCAATACGTTTACACCTTAACAGTGATGAATTACTACACACCACCAATTATTCTCTCCTTTTCAGGAGCCAGAGCTTGTGTCGAACTTTGTTGGTATAAAGAAGCAAGGAGCTGGTTGTATATGGGATTGACCGTATCCTTTAACGAATGTTTCAAACGTGATACGCGATGCAATGCGAGTAATATTTCAAGGGAAATCAATACGTTCCAGAGAGATTCTTCAACACATAATGCAAGCAATGTTCTCTTATACTGCACTGAGCAGTTTAAAGAAGCCAAAATATTCTCAAAGAGTTCTTTCGATTATTCCACGAAAATTTACTCAAAAGAAGAGGCCATATTAATTAGCCCTTTAACTCCCACGAGTGACCGAGACAGAATTTCTCCTCACGACATCAATACAATATCAACCAGATAAGTGATGAGAATAAAGAAAAATATCAATTTTAGAATAATTGGTTGATCCAATACCAAATTCTTTGAGTCTATTTTATAAGAAATGAATGGTTAACAGTGAGAAGGACTACAAATTTGATCTGGAAGTTAAAGGGTTAATTTCCAGAGTTTGAACTGAATGCCCCTCATCTTTGTCTTCAGACGAGCATCACCATGACGACAGAACCTAAACCAATAAATGCACTTCACAGATAGTTAAAACTCTCCCATAACATGAAATCGAATCTCTAAAAAAATACCCACGTTCGAATTATCATTCCAGTTTTTAGGTTCTATCCAATACTCTCATTGTTTTTTTAAAATACAAATTTCCATTGCATTTCGCAAATCTGCTCATGATTTATCTACCCTTAACGCGTTTTAGATTGAAAATAACAACAAACACCTGCTTCAATTACTAAGGAAGACTAATGCTGAACTAATAGTCATAGCAAACAATTCTTGTCATCTCGGCAACGATTATCAAGGCCTAGGAAAGTTTAAAGCAGCTATCAAATACCATCAGCGTCAACTAGAAATTGCTAAAGTAGTCGGAGATGAGACCGAGGAGGAAAGAAACTATTGCAATCTCGGCAACGCTTATCAAAGCCTTGAACAGTTCAAAACAGCGATCCAGTACCATCAACGTCATCTAGAAATTGCTAAGGAAGTCAAAGACAAGGACGGGGAGGGAAAAAGTTATGGAAATCTCGCCAACGCTTATCGCAGTCTAGGACAGTTCAAAACAGCCATCCAGTACCATCAACGTCATCTAGAAATTGCTAAAGAAGTGGGAGACAAGGCCGGAGAGGGAAAAAGTTATTGCAGTCTCGGCAACGCTTATCGCAGTCTAGGACAGTTTAAAACAGCCATCCAGTACCACCAACGTCATCTAGAAATTGCTAAAGAAGTGGGAGACAAGGCCGGAGAGGGAAAAAGTTATTGCAATCTCGGCAACGCTCATCAAGGTCTAGGAGAGTTCAAAACACCAACATCCAGTACCATCAACGTCATCTAGAAATTGCTAAAGAGGTGGGAGACATGACCGGAGAAGGAAAAAGTTATTGCAATCTCGGCAACGCTTATGACAGTCTAGGACAGTTCAAAACAGCCATCCAGTACCATCAACGTCATCTAGAGATTGCTAATGGGGTGGGAGACAAGGCCGGAGAGGGAAAAAGTTATTGCAATCTCGGCAATGCTTTTCCCAGTCTAGGACAGTTCAAAACAGCCATCCAGTACCGTTTACGTCATCTAGAGATTGCTAAAGAGGTGGGAGACAAGGCTGGAGAAGGAAAAAGCTATTGTAATCTCGGCAACGCTTGTCAAGGTCTAGGACAGTTCAAAACGGCCATCCAGTACCATCAACGTCATCTAGAAATTGCTAAAGAAGTGAGAGACAAGGCCGGCGAGGGAAAAAGTTATTGCAATCTCGGCAACGCTTATCAAGGTCTAGGAAAGTTCAAAACAGCCCTCCAGTTCCATCAACGTCATCTAGAAATTGCTAAAGAGGTGGGAGACAAGGCCGGAGAGGGAAAAAGTTATGGCAATATTGGCAACGCTTATCAAGGTCTAGGACAATTCAAAACAGCAATCGCAAACCATCGACGTCATCTAGAAATTGCTAAAGAGGTGGGGGACAAAGCTGGAAAGGGAAAAAGTTATTGCAATCTCAGCAACGCTTATCACAGTCTAAGACAGTTCGAAACTGCCATCCAGTACCATCAACGCCATTTAAAAATTGCTATAGAAGTAGGAGACAAGGCCGGAGAGGTAAAAAGTTATTGCAATCTAGGCAACGCTTATCACAGTCTAGGACAGTTTACAACAGCCAGCCAGTACCATCAACGTCATCTAGAAATTGCTAAAGAGGTGGGAGACAAGGTGGGAGAGGGAAAAAGTTCTGACAATCTCGGCAACGCTTATCGCAGTCTAGGAAAGTTCAAAAAAGCCATCCAGTACCATCAACGTCATCTAGAGATTACTAAAGAAGTGGGAGACAAGGCCGGAGAGGGAAAAAGTTATGGCAGTCTCGGCAATGCTTATCAAGGTCTAGGACAGTTCAAAACAGCCATCCAGTACCATCAACGTCATCTAGAAATTGCTAAAGAGGTGGGAGACAAGGTCGGCGAGGGAAAAAGTAATGGCGGTCTCGGCAACGCTTCTCAAGGTCTAGGACAGTTCAAAACAGCCATCCAGTACCATCAACGTCATCTAGAAATTGCTAAAGAGGTGGGAGACAAGGCCGAAGAGGGAAGAGGTTATGGCAATCTCGGCGGCGCTTATCAAGGTCTAGGACAGTTCAAAAAAGCTATTCAGTATCATCAACGTCATCTAGAAATTGCTAACGAGATGGGAGACAAGGCCGGAGAGGGAATCAGCCATGGCAATCTTGGCAACGCTTATCAAAGTCTAGGAAAGTTCAAAACAGCCCTCCAGTACCATCAACGTCATCTAGAAATTGCTAAAGAGGTGGGAGACAAGGCCGGAGAGGGAAAAAGTTATGGCAATCTTGGCAACGCTTATCAAGGTCTAGGACAATTCAAAACAGCCATCCAGTATCATCAACGTCATCTAGAAATTGCTAAAGAAGTGGGAAACAAGGCCGAAGAGGGATTCAGTTATGGTAGTCTCGGAAACGATTATAAAGACCTAGGACAGTTCAAAACAGCCATCCAGTACCAACAACGTCATCTAGAAATTGCTAAAGAGGTGGGAGACAAGGCCGGTGAGGGAAAAAGTAATGGCGGTCTCGGCAACGCTTATCAAGGTCTAGGACAGTTCAAAACAGCCATCCAGTACCATCAACGTCATCTAGAAATTGCTAAAGAGGTGGGAGACAAGGTCGGAGAGGGAAGAAGTAATGGCGGTCTCGGTAACGCGTATCAAGGTCTAGGACAGTTGAATAAAGCTATTCAGTATCATCAACGTCATCTAGAAATTGCTAACGAGATGGGAGACAAGGCCGGAGAGGGGGTCAGCCATGGCAATCTTGGCAACGCTTATCAAGGTCTAGGAAAGTTCAAAACAGCCCTCCAGTACCATCAACGTCATCTAGAAATTGCTAAAGAGGTGGGAGACAAGGCCGGAGAGGGAAAAAGTTATGGCAATCTTGGCAACGCTTATCAAGGTCTAGGACAATTCAAAACAGCCATTCAGTATCATCAACGTCATCTAGAAATTGCTAAAGAAGTGGGAAACAAGGCCGAAGAGGGATTCAGTTATGGTAGTCTCGGCAACGATTATAAAGGCCTAGGACAGTTCAAAACAGCCATCCAGTACCATCAACGTCATCTAGAAATTGCTAAAGAGGTGGGAGACAAGGCCGGAGAGGGAGCAAGTTATGGCGGTCTCGGCAACGCTTATCACAGTCTAGGACAGTTCAAAACAGCCATCCAGTACCATCAACGTCATCTAGACATTACTAAAGAGGTGGGAGACAATGCTGGAGAGGGATTCAGTTATGGCAGTCTCGGCAACGCTTATCAAGGTCTAGGACAGTTAAAAACAGCCATCCAGTACCATCAACATCATCTAGAAATTGCTAAAGAGGTGGGAGACAAGGCCGGAGAGGGAAAAAGTAATGGCGGTCTCGGCAACGCTTATCAAGGTCTAGGACAGTTAAAAACAGCCATCCAGTACCATCAACATCATCTAGAAATTGCTAAAGAGGTGGGAGACAAGACCGGAGAGGGAAAAAGTAATGGAGGTCTCGGCAACGCTTTTCAAGGTCTACGACAGTTCAAAACAGCCATCCAGTACCATCAACGTCATCTAGAAATTGCTAAAGAAGTAGGAGACAAGAATGGAGAGGCGTGTGCATTAAGTCTCCTTGGTAACAGTTATGAGTGCCTGGGAAAACTAAAGAAGGCCTTTTTCTGCTATCACTCGAGTGTACTGTTGTATAATGATATCAGGGCCAGTCTTCAACTTAACGATCAGTGGAAAATTAGTTTTCGCAATCAGCACCAAAATGCATACAGAGGCTTGTGGTGTGTAAACATCAAGCAAGGTAAAAATGTAAAGGCTCTTCTTGCCGCAGAAGAAGGACGTTCTCAAGCTCTGAGAGATCTCATGGACACAAAATATTACCCTGGATGTTCTTCAACGCACAGACCTTCGTGCGTTTCACTGAGTCGTGTTCCGTTAGGCACAGTTTTCATAGCTGTGAGGGGACCCTGCTTTTACTTGTGGATTTTCAGCAATGATGACATAAAAGTGAGAAAAGTAAACATCAACAATTATAGGCGCGAGGATGAATTGGGATTTTTCATCCAGCGACTGAACAGAACTGCTCTGAAGGAGATCGGTACAAGAGGTACTTTTACAATCGAAAATGATCCACTTGATTCGTCGACAGAGGAGGAAGTGGCCAATGGTGTGATCCGAGTTGATGTGAGGCATTCCCAATCAAGTGCTTTGGAGAAGCTGCATGACATCATCGTTTCTCCTATTGCCGATCTGATCGAAGGCAACGACGAGATCACATTCGTTCCTGAGGGGCCATTTTGCCTTGTACCTTATGCAGCGTTGCAGGACTCCAACTCATCATATCTAAGTGATTCTTTCAGAATTCGTGTGCTTCCCTCTCTGACGACGTTGCAACTTATTCATGATTGTTCAGCTGACTTTCACATGAAGACTGGTGCATTGCTTGTCGGCAACCCATGTTTCAAACATGTCATCAATCAGGGATCACTTTTGGTGCAACTGCCAGGAGCAAGGAAAGAAGTGGAGCTGATCGGACGTATCCTCAATGTCTCCCCTCTCACTGGAGATATGGCAACAAAACATGAAGTGTTAAAACGAATATCATCAGTGGCCTTAGTTCATATTGCAGCCCACGCTATACTGGAAACTGGAGAAATTATCCTGGCACCAAACACCACAAGAGATAACCCTCTGCTTCAAGAGAAAGACTATCTCCTGACGACGAAAGATGTCATAGAAGCTGGGTTGCGAGCTCGTCTGGTTGTACTTAGCTACTGTGACACTGGTCGTGGGGAGGTCACAGCCGAGGGTGTGGTCGGCATGGCGCGAGCACTTTTGGGTGCCGGTGCCAGATCTGTTGTGGTAACCTTGTGGGCGATTTCCGACGAGGGAACCCTGGAGTTCATGAGTTTCTTCTACGATGCGCTTGCTGAAGGCAAGAAGGCAAGTGAAGCTCTCAATCAGGCCATGAAGTGTACGAGAGAAATTGAAAGGTACAAGAAGGTGATTTACTGGGCACCATTTGTACTCATTGGTGACGACGTCAACCTGGATTTCAATAACATTTCGAAGCTGAAGCAAGTAAATATTATGTTTGCACATTCCATTCAATACAAAGTTACATTAAATCATGATTATTGCTTATATGGGTTACGAATTTCTGTTTGGTCCGGCAAATTGAGATGCACTACAATCAAGAGGACATGTTTACGATGATAACATTCTTTTCAGGAAACCTGATAGGAAAGAAAAAGCAATTTTTTTTTAAAAACAATCCTGTTGTGCAATGTATCGTTTCATGTGCTAAGAAATATTTCAGGGCAACTCAACTATCCTCCCTAAACTTAGATTCTTTTATTTTTCAGTTAAGGCGGTGAGCGTTGGAATCCCAGGGAGTTTTAGGATACCTGCAAACGCTGATATTTGGACCATAAACCAGTAAGCTACCGATGAAATATTTGTCAAGAGTCTTCTTTTCAAAGCAGGAAGAACCAAAAGACGGCCAAAGTCAAGTTTAACAAGAGAATGGATTTCCTTTGATTCAAAAGTTGACTTTTTGCTTGTCTGAACTGCTCTTAAGAGCTTGATCTTTGATATCCTGCTGAAACTACTGTTTTTCATATGATGTCTTGAAATTATCATGATTAGCTATGTAAAAAGTTATTTTTAATCTAAGTTTTACCTACTAAGAGGATTAAGGCGTTACGTTTGCGTGGAAGTTGAAACGTCTTGAAAACGTTTTCCACAGTTTTTTTACAGATTTTTCTTAATCACTTTTCATCTCATGAGTTATGTAGAGCTGTTGTATTCACGTGCATGTGTGGAGAATTTCCATGGAAATTAGAGAATAATCAGTTGTCCGACTACTCGGTTATCTTTTGGTTAATGTCAGATGGAAATTGTGATTACCTTTTAGAAGCTTTGTACCCAGTCATTAGTACTTTAAGTTAATTTCTGTCAATCAGAATTCGGTTTATCTCGACTTAAAATGACAGATTTAGGCCGTAATGGCCAGGATTTAGTCTTTCTGAGATTTCTCCCTTAATTAAAAAAAATAATAAATTGTGTTATTTTCTACATGCAGAACGATGCATTTTAAGGATATTGTTTAAACTAATCGTCCAAAGGCAAAACGATGTTTCATTTTATAATTTTAGTTTATAGTTTTAGTTACAAAGAATTGAAGGAAGCTCAGAACGAGCTGGAAAGTTGGAGCCAAATGATTTTATTTAGTTTCTCCGATTAGATTGTTTACTTGCTATGTAAGTACAATAAACTAACATTTGAACGTCAAACAATGAAACAAGTCGCTTGTTAGAATGGAAGAGGAAATCATTAACAAAGTGAAGAAAATTTCTGCATGAACCTGCATAAGCCATTTCTTGTCGTTTGAGGTAATATTCGCTTAATAACTTTTGCCCATATTTTCGAATAGGTTTACTGAATGAGAGATAAACTTCGATATTTTCTGACTGTATAACTGCTAATATCGGTCACTGGCAACCGTTTCTTAGGATATCACGCGACGCACTTCTTTAGCACGTTATATGACAGATATGATGCTTTGTCACATCTTTTCGTTTGGAGTTGTGAGCGTATCTATGTCTTATTCGCTCAACCTCTTCCCATTTCCTTGGATAGAGTTATTAAATGAGGTATAAACCTCGATATTTTCAGATTTTATATCTGCCAGTTTCATTGGCAGCCGTTTCTTAGGATGTCACGCGACGCGTTTTTTTTTAGCGTGTAAAGCGATATGATGTTTAGTCATATCGTTGAAAAGGCAAGAAAAAAGAAATTACCTTTCACTTTGGGAGATGGTGCTTTATTCTTTATGCTTTTTCCCCCTATCCAGCTTGCTAAGTAACTAAAATACTGGGCTGCATCTCCCGGGCTCGTTTACTGGGCACATTATACCTCATTTAATAACTCTATCCAAGGAAATGGGAAGAGGTTGAGCGAATAAGACATAGATACGTTGAAAAGGCAAGAAAAAAGAAATTACCTTTCACTTTGGGAGATGGTGCTTTATTCTTTATGCTTTTTCCCCCTATCCAGCTTGCTAAGTAACTAAAATACTGGGCTGCATCTCCCGGGCTCGTTTACTGGGCACATAAAAATCACACAAACACATTGATCTGGAGTAAAAATGGCTGAGGGCAAAGGCCCAAAGCCGGTTTAATCAGTAATCAAAACTGAATCAATTATTACCCAAAATATTTGAATCTGGGAAAAATAGCTTGCCCGGTAAAGGTGAGGGCTGAAAAACAACGCCAACAAAATCAACTATTAACTTGAGCTAAAACAACGACATGTGGCTGGAATAAGGGGAGGAGGTGGGGTACAAACAAACGTGTCACTTGCGAAGAAATCTGAAGTGAATGACTCTGTGAATTCTGTCACGAGTATTAGACTCCAAAAAAGGTGGGGGGTCAATACATTGCAATACTCGCACCCCTTAACCAGGCCTGTCACGCATCTTGCATTGTCATATAACGCTCTCTACACGTGACTAACTTATGTCAGCAATCATCACAATAATAGAACATTAATAATCGAGGAAAAAAAAGCATAAAAATCCTATTCGCGAGCAAATATTTTCTTTATTTTGCTTATAGAAAGCGTCCTCATCATGGGAGGTACCCTAGGTCGGTACGGTTCCACGAGTGTAGAAAATATTGATGACCTTTTTTTTTCCACGATTGCAAACTTAACTAAAACAGCCTGTACAAAAAGACCCAAAACTTTCTTAAAACTGAGGAGAGCCGACCGAGGAGAACTTTTTACGGCTAACGATTAGAATTGTGGCCATTTTTCTGCTGCTGTTAACCCGGAATGACACAAAATAACACATTGTAGAAAGGAAAAATTTTCTAAGGTTAATTTTTTTCAACAACTAAGGGTTAAAGTTGTTCGATTTTTTACGCCTGACAGCTAGTTTTTTGACCGATATACAGCGAACGGTTAACCCCATGGAGAGCCTCGACTAGGGCTTGCTAATATGCCGAGCAAAGAAAAATAAACTATCGAAAATTTGAAAAAACGACTGATAAATAGCTTTTTAACTACTTTAAGTGAGTACACAATCTTAACTCTTAAAAATTATTACAGTGAGAAGATCTTAATTGACGGTACACTGCAAATTTAGCTCCCTTACAGAATTCCTGAATTCCTTAAGAATTGTCGTTTAGCGTAGTTCATCCGGTAAGGAATTCCACACGTTGGCACCAATAAAAGATGTGGGTTTCAAGCCAAAGGTTGTAGTATTCTTACGTGGGACGACGAGCTTGTTGGTTCCTCTTAAGTTTTTACACATATTTCTTATAACAAGCAACTCGCTTGTATATTTATACAGCTTTAAAAATCACTATAGCAATTTCTCGAAGTCGACGATTGGACAAAGTTAAACCGTGGTAATTATTATCATAAGGGGGCACCCGTTTGTTGTAGACACACCTTAGAGCTCTTGTATTGAGCCTTTCCAGCTTCTGATTATCAGCCTCATTACAGTTGAGCCAAATAGCAGAACAGTAAGTAAAGTAAAACTTTACTGCGAGTTTTAAAGGCACATTTTCGAAGTTGACAGCATGTTCTTTAGCTTGCTCAAAACATCTAACTGCTTTCCAACTTTCTTAGTAATCTTGGCTATATGTTTGCTAAAATTTAGCGAGTTATCGATGATAACACCTTTAATATCTAAATGATCTACGATTGAAACCTGTGCATCATTAATGCGAAAGGAAAGATCACTGGGATAGCTTTTTGAAAGAATAATAACATTTCTCGCATTTATCATCAAACCAATGACTCGCAACAGCAAGATCACCATTGACCACGGACTTTACCACCTCAGGATCGCGTTCACTGGAAAAAATCGGGTATCATCAGGACAGTTGGACAAACTAGCGCGATTAATAAAATAGAACCGATCTTTAAGAAAAATATTTAAAAGGAGGGGCCCTAAAATCGATCCCTGGGGTACACTCTTATAGAAAACAACAACATCCGAAGTAACATCTTCTATCCTCACGGGCTTGGACCTGTCTCTAATGTAACTGTGTAAAAGGGCCAGGCTAGGTGGAGAAACGCCATAGGCAGCTAGCTTGGCAAGGAGATTTCAAATCGACATCAAATCATAGTTAGATCTTTCATTAGGATTGTCCTTTTTAAAGATGGGGCAGATTTCTGCAAGCTTCCAAGCAGCCGACACAGAGTCAGAGTCAATGATTTTGTTGATAAGAACAAATAGTGGATAGGCAAGAGCATAAAAAACATGGCGACTACACAAAATATGTACTTTCAAATTAATCTTTCGTCTTTCTTGTCTGTAATATGTGGACTTCTCAAAGCTCTAGGAAAATATTCTACCTTATAAACGACAATTCAGTGGGATTTAATGGTATTTCGTGGTCGATTAGTGGATATATTCTTGGAGTTAATGAGTGCACAAACTTGTGTTTCGTATTTTTTTCGTATCACTCTAGATACCGTTATTGCCGACGAGCCTTCAACTTCTGAAAAGAAATCAGGCTATCACCATAAATTGGAATCTCACCATTTACTTGGTCGTGGAAAGGTTACTTAGTTGAGAGAGGAATGGCTCATAAGGACTCGAGGAGATGAAGGTCCAGACTTTTAGTTCAAGGTATTTTAAGAGCTTCTTTTAAGGAGAAGCAAAGTAGAAACTTTCAAAATCGTTAAGACTTGTCAGAGTTAAAGAATTCAAGGCAATTCATATTTCACGACATTAATTTTGTTTTAGGCGACTACCTTTAGAAGAGTGTACTCAAGACACTTCAAAGTTGACGATCGACTACCTTCCACCCACCACGAGTTGTCGAAATCTGCTGAAAGGGGAGCTGTTCCTTCTAAGTTCGAGTTGTCATCCAACTCCAAAGTACGAACAAAGATAATTCGACATGTGTTAAGGTATTGATGATCAATCGTAAATATTTCAGTGATGCCATTCTAATAAAAGTGATTTGTTATTAAAATTTAGCGCATCAATTATATTGTACACATCGCAATCTGCAAATATTTTGATAACATTACTTTAATCTTCTCTTTACTGACATGCTCAAAGAGATGACAGGGATGATAAACATGAAAATTATTTAGAAGTAAGCCCAGCCATTGACAGCATTCATCCAGGAATTCAGTCCATCAAGGCACAGCTACTGGCTGTGCAGGAACAGCTACAGAAAAGTAAAGATGAAGTAAAAGCAGTAAAAATCCAAGCTGCGATAGAGATTGAAGAAATGAAAAGACAAGTATAATAATAACAATAATAATAATGATAATAATAATAATAATAATAATAATAATAATAATAATAATAAGGGTTTATTAACAGCATTTCCATGAGTAAAATGGCTCTACATCTGTTATACAAACATAAAAATTGGATATTACGATAAAACCTATTAAAAAAAAAAAAATGTCCTTTGAGCAGCCGAACAATAAATTGGGGCTGGAGAGATTTGGAACATACAATGATTCAATAAAATTTTACATCGGTTTTCGTTCATAAGCACATTTTCAGTTCTTTTTTCGAATCATAGCGGAAGGTGGTCTGTCAGAGGGGTCCAGTTGAGAAGAAAGGCATTGGAGG